ATTCACTGGAATATATAAATCTGGTCATTTGACTAGAAAAGATGACACTTAACCTTTTCTCTTTTGAGCCACCACATATCCAAATGATCACAGTCCTGTGAATGCCATCTGTTTATTATGTGTAATATTCTCCCAATTTAAATTGCTATGGACCATTCATGTAAACAACAGCCCAATGCCATAGGGAAATAGCTTATTAGACGGTGGGTTTTTGGTTTTTTTTTTTTTTTTTCTTTCTACACAACTCCAGTGCAACTTCTAAGTATTTCTGGAATTACTTCAGACACTCATAAAGGGAGGCTACACAGAGCCAGATTCAGTATTGGCATAATGAGATCACTTGGCCTGAACTTGATGCAAAGACTAGAAACTGCATACAGAAAGACTGGAAAAYAATCTCAGCATTTTCCCTTCTTTGTTCTCTTTCACATACTGTGGACAGACACACAAATGCCACACAGCAGCAAATTCCACTGGAGAGCATCCTCTTAGGCTTGGAAAATTGCTCTCAAGTCACTGACTCCAATCCCAGGCAAAAAAAAAGTTCCACTTATAATTCCCCTCACAAACTGACTGAGCTTCATTTCACAGCTAATTTTCCTTCTGTTGACTGGAAACATAAACATGCAAAGAATGTAGCAGAGAATAGGCATTAGAGTGTGAGACATCATTTGGGATAGGTGGACAAAGATTCCAGAATATTTTTTACATCTTAATTTTTCCATCTTGTTTGAAGAATTACAAGTAAACCACAATCTGCCACTGTGATTGCCAAGGTATCTTACTGGCTTCTTCAGGCAAATCTGGTTCCAAATGAGAGGAAAAGTTGGCATGAGGTTAATAAAGAGATTAATTGGAAGGGGATATAAGAGAAAAGCAGGGCAATTAAAGCCTGTGATGTGGAATCTGCATAAAGTGGTAAAAGGGAAGAARAAAGTTAATACCTTTGGCTTTCCTGGGCAACTATGCCTAAGAAATACTTCAAAAATTAAAAAGCAAACAGGGCAAAAGGTACTACAATATTTTTTATTCTATATATRCATGGGAAAGCTTTTTCTGTCTAAACACTTTCCCTTGTTTAAATCAGTGAATTATCCCAGGCTTTTCCCTTGCCCACAAAGCTGTACTCTGTATTTTATATTGTGCCATTTTTCTGCTTCTGGTCCACAATGTGACCTAATAAACTCACTGCTCRCTGATGCCATAAAACTTCTGTGAGTAGTTTGCAACATACTCTTTTTGATTAATGGCATAAATGAGAAAATACATTTGGGTTCCTCTGGTAGATTCAGTACTCYGTAGGGGAATTTCACTGCCTAAAGGCCATGTTCAAACCTATGTCTAACCTTGCGAGGCTTTTCAGTAACAACTTTGCCAAAAGAAATCACAAAGAAGTATTTGTGTGTTAAAATACATTTTCAAGGTAGATTTCAACAGCCTTTTAAAGTTTCTTGRTCTCCTAGAAGGAAAATAGGTGATTCATATGTGCCTYGTGAAAGATCAGCAGACACATACCMGATTTCCATTGACAACCAATGGCAGAAGGTGATAAAATCAATCWAAGAGGACAATAAGTCCCAATGAACCAGTTTTACATTTCATTAACTAGAGTGCCAAGGTAGCTCTTAATGACTGATTTACTTTCTTTCTTCATGAGGAATTCAGCAATTAGGAAAATAAGGTCTAACAGCCTAATACAACTTGAGCYTGCAATGCAGTTTGTATCTGAAGGTGATGAGAAATGTGAGGGCTTAGCAGTTTCTCAGACCAGGGCCATGAGGAGTCCTCAGCCCAAGGAGGGCTCTCTGCACAGGTGGATGCCATGCCAGGTTGCCCACCTGGCTGTGCCAGGGCATCTYGCTCCTGGCCACTGAAACCCGTGATTATTCCATATTTGAATTGTCACTGGTGATGCACAATTTTGTGATACGCTTATCACAGTGACAAAGAGAAGATCAGCTTGGTGCTGACATTGTGCTCTAAGCACTGATTCAASCATTAATTGGGTAGGAACTAATTCAGTTACCCATGGATTAGTTTTACTGGCCCTGATGTGACTTGCCTTAATTCAACTACTAAAATTAATTTTCATCCAGTTTAATTCTCAGTTAAAAGGAGAATAGGAGTAGTTTCCTTTAGGAATACAGGAATGCAGCATGAAACACATTTTAATACATACAGAAAACAAAGTTTTCTCTTTTTAAAATAAAATTGCTATGACACAGAGGGACACTAAGATATATATTTTACAGAGGGAGGACTACAATTAAGTCTGCTGGTCTTAAGAAMCTTGACACTTAGGGAAATCTAAAATCAGGCTTGCATTTTGCAGCTAGCAATAGATTGTTATTAAAGGCTAAATTACCTGATCCSTAAATCACCTAGGCTGTTACCTTTTACTAAATCCAAGATTTCTGGGTCAATTTTTGACCTGTTCAGAATCTCTCTATGTATATATGTATAAGAAGATATGTGCACACACACATGTATGTATTTACCAGACTTGTGCGACTTTTCACACCCACTAAAGCCAGTGAGCTATTTAAGAGYTCAGAATCTGAAAAACTAGATACAACCCATTCCCCCTGCCTGAATGCTATATTGAAATCTTTTGGGAAGACAGGACTTTATTCCCYGCAAATGCTTCCTGTGGGATTTACTGTAAAATGAAACTGGTAAAGTATCCAGTGTGTCATGCAATTTGCATTTGCTTCATTAAGTTTTGTTCCTTGTGTACTTTTATTTTTTATTAAAACTATTAAAAACATTATTAAAACTATATTAAAACAGCTTTGCATTTCTCTGCCCTGTTAGCAAGAAAGCTCTCTGGGCAGCAAGAGAACGGGGGGGAAGAGACTGGAACTTCACGGGGGGAAGAGACTGGACTAGGCAGGCAAGACCAAGGAAAACCGGGAGATGGCAATGGAGGAGGAGGAAGGAATATGCTTGTTTTTTGAGCAGCAATTAGAGAAGCTCARCTGTGACACCTAACCTGGTCTGAGGCCTCTGTATTTGGATCCTGGCTTAAAGTCAGGTGTAACTAAGATTTGTTTTCAGAACTATTGTTGAAACACAAATGACCCATATTAGGGTCAAGCATTAGGGGCTTACGCTTGACTTTCCCCCACCATCTCCACCCCTCTTCCACGTGGGACACATCTCAGGATTGTTCCAGACATCAGTATAGCAGATCTGCAGTTTTATCTCCTAGGTGGCAGCAGTCACTGGTGAAGGTGGGCTGTGTTCAGTCCTAGCTGGTACCCCCACGGAGGAATGGCTGAGCAACACCTCCTTGTCCACCTATTGTCCTAGACATTTCCAAAGAAAACCCCAGGCTGGTCAGAGACAGCATTTTGTATCAGACTGAGAAACAGGATTAAAATCTTRGTTTCTAGCTGCCTCCTTGGTCTTTGCTGCTTGCCACATTCCCAAGAAACAGACTGGACCACCAGCACCTCAAAAGTAAACCTCTCAGTAAAACGATCAGGGGAAAGAAAAAGAAAATTTGAAAAGGCAGCCTCAGCAGGTGAAGAAATGAGATGGTGGAGAAATGGAGCAAAACACACTGATAGAAGATGTGGCTAATGATAATGATTCTGCTTCTGAGACTCTTTGGAGATGAAAGTATTTTTGCTCTTTCTTGCATCTCCCTCCCCACTGACAGCCTCTAGGAAGGAAAGCTGGAGTATGTCCAGCAATATTTTTATCTTTCTTTTCCTTTTCTGCCACAGTCTGCCATCTACTTAGAAACTCCATTTCAAGCCCTCTTTGCCAGTTGGACAAGAACTGCACAGATCACATAAAAGGCGTGGATAACAGCAAGTTTGCTGCACCTGTGTTCTTCCCTTGCTGTTCTGAGAGGTAAAATTCGAGCATGTCRAYAGASACATCTTTCTTTTTAAAGACTTGTCAAGGAAATATTTCTCATTAAGTTAGACATGAAGAAGACATATCACTAAACCGAGTTCTCTGGGCAGAGACTGTGAACTTCTACACCTGGAACCAGGAAAGGATGCCAGGATCTTCCTTGCTGCACAGGAACAAACATCTGAGTCTTTGACCCCTTAGAAACGTTAACGAAGGCAAAGGTATCGGAGATTGTCCCGTGGAGCTGACCACACCGTAACAGGGACACAATCTCAGGTCACGGGGACCATGAGCGGACAGGGAGACAATCTATCCGCCCCAGCATCCTCGGACCCAGTACACCCTGTCCGTTTTGGCAAAGCACTCAACGCGGCCGTTCCGCTGGTGGTGTCCGCTGGCCACCGAGGGAGGCAGGACATGGGCGTGCCGGGGGGGGACCAGCCTGAACCCCGCGACTGGGACGAGGAGGGCACAGGGGACAAGGGGCGACCCACTATGGGGGCACTGGAGGCTGCGTAACTGAAAGGGCGTTTGAGTCGCTTCTCTCTCTTCCTCCATTAGATCCGGGAGAATCAAACTAGAGAAGTTACGTCGGAATAAATGATAACCTTTTTTTTTTTTTTCCTTCTTTCCCCATTTGTCGGCAGACGAAGCTTTCACCAGAGGGACCTGCCCGTCTCTAGGCTGCCTCTTTCAAAGTACCGAGCAGCCGCCTGGATGGCAAAGGGTTCCCACAGCAGCATCCATCACCCTTCAAACCCCTTTTATTCTCGGGTGAGAAACTCGCAGAGGAGAGGCGGGGGGCGCGGGCAGCAGCCRCCAAGTGGCTGCAGGGGCCGCTTGGCACAGGGGAGCGCAGACAAAAGCCGGCGGAACTACGTGGCTCAAATTCAAAAGGGGCGCTCCGGGCTCCGCCGGGGCAGCCCCGGCACGGGGAGGGGGCGGGAGCGGGGCCGGGGCAGCCCGGGGTGGGGCGGGGGGCGGTGGGCGCCGGCGGGAGTGGGACGGGCGTGCGGGGGGCGCAGCGCGGTTCCCCCGTCCCCCCCGGTTCCCCCGGTCCCCCCGGCTCCCCCGCCGATCGCTGGGGGCCGCCGCAGCTGAAGCGGCCGCCCCAGCCCAGCTCCGGCGCGGCGATGAGGGGCATCCCGGGCTTCAAGCGGCTGCGGCTCAAAATCTGGCGGCGATGCGCCCTGCTGCTGCTCCTCCTCTGGGCTGCCTGCTGGCTGGTGGTGAGCGCTGCGCTGTTCCTCCTCCACAGGAGCGTCTTCTCCGAGCGCTGCACGGACGAGAAGAGCCGCCGGATCCTGGCCAGGCTGGTACGTGCCCCRGCGGGACGCGGGGCATCTCCCGGGCGCTGCCCGGCCGGACGGGACGCGGGCGGTCCGTCGGGGCTGCGAGGAGCCGGGCACTCGCTGGCCGGGGCGCCCTGCTCGGCTCCGGCCGCCGGAGGTGCCGCATCGCCCGGTGCGCACGGGCTGGCGGCTGCCTCCCTACTGCCTTTCCTCCCTGCCKTCCTCCCTCCTTCCCTCCCTCCCTGCCTCCCTTCCCGAGGAGAGGTCAGGTGCAGGCGGCGGGCCGGCTGCCGGGCGTGGGATGCGGGTGCGCTGCCCAAGCACTCTGGAAAGGGCAGCTCGGCGTGCCGAGCGCTCCGAAGCGGAGGAAAACCTTCCTCCGGAGGCTGRAGGGTTTTGTTTGTTTTTAGCCAAAAAGCTGTTTGTACTAAAGTCGTCYTTCAGAAGTGCCAGGCAGCTTGTATTGCCTCCTTTATGTCTGGCGGGGCTGGCGTGTAAGATGTGGTTAAAATTCAGGAAAGGATTTGCGAATATTCATTAAAATTTCTAGTAAAAATAATAATGAACAGACTTAGGATTGTGTAGGAAACACTTTGAGACAAGGAGCAGCATGGGTTAATATTTTTAGTTCAATTTGGTTTCTTAGGGTATCTGTACTGCCAGTGGTTAGTTGGGAAGGGAGAAATCCTAGTGGGAATTAAATAATCTATTTCTGCAAGCAAGCAAAAACAGATCACAGAWTTTCCTTAATTCTGTATAATAAAGGAAAAGCAAGTGTAGGCAGTGGTCCTGACAGCGTGTTTCTCACGGCAGTGAGCTCGTTTCTTTACCTCAGGAGCCAGACCGAAGTAGAGCAGAGCTCAGGKTTGCAGCTGAAGGAGTGATTCCTGCCTCATCTTTACGTGCTTGGGAAGAGCACTGAGATGTGGAGGTGCCTGAAGCCGCCAAGCTCAGGGAGGTCCAGGTCCTTGCCGTCGCYCTCGCCAATAAACAGATGGACAGAGACTTGTTGCTCTTCAGTTTGGAAAGCGYCAGGCAAGGCTTCAAAAGCCCAGGGATCAGATTTCAGGCGCAAGCTTGGAAAGTTGTCTGTCMCTGAGAGATTGCTCAGTTTCAGACTCTCCTTCCAGAGGAGGAGTAGCTGCGATTGCTGGGCTCATCTCTGAGCAGGTGAATAATCTGTAGCATCAGCAATCAGTAGGTTTGTAAGCAGCAGCTTTCCCAGACGTTTTAAAGAGATTGTCCTCCTAGTGGAATAATTAGAAAATGAGCTTGTCTTGATCAGCYCCAAAATAAGTCTTCCTACATCTTCCGAGCATGGCATGAGTTTTACAGCTATAGGAAGTGCAATTGATCTATGAAACAAATGACCTGATATCTTGAGTCTCACATCTTCTATTTAGCAAAAATCAGCTTGGAAGAAAAACTACTTTACTAGTCATGTGGAAGTAGGAGATGAGCTATTTTAAGGAAGTGGGTGAAAATGTTTGCAAGTGGCATTTCTGAAGGTTTTGTTTCCTTATCCTGGGTAAGATATACATTTGTGCAGATGTATACTGCACTGGGAAGGCTCCAATAGCACTGGGCAATTCACAGGGATCAACTTTAACTTTCAAAAAAAAAAAAATAAAATCTAACCTTTCCTAAAGCCAGTCTCATCTTCATTTACACTGAACACATTAAATCATAGCAATCAATTTCTGTTCCCTCTGGAGAAATCAATTAATTTTGATGCCTTCCAAACCTGGCTTATATCGAATTTACAAGAAAGTAGTAGCTAACAAGGCAGTCTCAGACCACTGATGGTGGTACCGTGCGTAATTTAAATTTATATAAAACCTTAGCAAGATTTACATTAATTTAAGGTTTTATGTTAATTTAACTCCAGTTTTTTAAACTTCTCTTGATAAGTGCACTGAGGGCATTAAAAATTATGTAGCCRATTTTAATAAGAAACATATGAGTGAGTCTGATCCATGCTTGTGTTTGCATTTTTGTGTAGTACAGCTGCTTCTTTATAAGGCTTTTGGCTTAGTATCACTTTCATATTTTAGTTTCAAGTATCTGGCACGTAAAGAAGAATCTATGGCTTTCAAAGGTCGATCATTAGGTCGATTTAAAACTGTCTCATCAACAGATCTCAAAACTCAGTCATTAAGACAGGGATGGCAGTGTGGAGAACCATTTCTGAATGATTTCTTTGGGGAATTGATTCTTCCTTTTATCAGCAGGATGACAGACACTCTTGTATAGTAAAAACTGCAGTTCAGAGCAAAGGTTCCTGGGTTGGTGAATAATAAATGGTCCATCTTGTCAGGACAGGGTAATCTGTATTACCTGGTTAAATGCTTTCAGTCTACCAGATTTGTGTTTTAATACTGTAAAATGCAAGCTAGCACACTGGGGAGCACAAGAGTACAGGCCATGCCAATATGATGGAAGACTGTCCTGTAAAACTGTCCTGTATGTCTTTGYAAATAATGTTAGGGTCAAATAATTGCTTCAAGATGAACTACCAGTACAGACTGTGCCTAAAAGGCTGATAGGAGATGGTTCAACCTTCCTGATTGCTTCCTTGAGGAGGCCTGTTTGAAATGCTTGCTTTGGTGACCAGCTGAGAATGTTGTTTCATCACTGTGAGGCCAGGAGTGCTTTGGTCACAGAGCCACAGATCCCAGTTTCCCTTCCACAGATCCCAGTTTCACAAAACACTGCACAAGTTCATTGTAAGGAGAGTATGATTCAGACACTGTTTGTCAGATACTAGGTTAATAATCAAATATTTATAGCTTAAACTGAAAAAAACAGTGGACATGTCCTATGCAACAACCAGGTTCAAAAAGGACCTGTCTCCTCTGTCTKTGAAATCTGAGTCTGTTTTTTCCACGACTACTTTTCCTCACTGATACYATTAAGTATGATTTCTTGTCAACACAGGAAAATAAGCTGCACCTTGACATGTTTCACTTGAGATCATGGTCATGTGTTCTTCTAGGTGCCAGAAGTCCATGCATGCTGACCCTCTAAGAGTGCACTTGGTGGACCACAGTAGCACTGTCCACAGGGGCAAGTGTTTGCCCATGTGAACCCAATTACGTGACTAAGGCCTATCTTCTCTCACTGTAGCAGAAGAGAGTTAGTTTGTGGTCTGTCAATAGTTTTAAATGTGCTTGTACTTACAATCCAAAGAAAACCCAACAATTTCCTTCTGTTTGTAATTTTCTCTCTAAAATAGATTAGAGTTCCAGATGGTAAGAACCGCTAACCTACTTTTGTCAAGAAAACTACRTTTTCTACTTTAAAAGGTAGAGTAAAATTGTATTACATGAATAGGAGCATATTTTCAAAAGCAAGAACACTTGTGAGCATGCTCACAAGTCTGCAGACAGCCCAGTGAGTCTCCTTGGCCATCCTGATGAGGATGAGGATGAGGATGAGGATGAGGATGAGGATGAGGATGAGGATGAGGATGAGGATGAGGATGTGTGTGTGTTTCACTCATGCATGGACTCAGTGTCCAGACACTCATGCAAGAATTTGCCTACCTGCCTCTCCTTGCTGGCACTGAATGTTCTCATTTAGGCTGTGAGAACATCAGAATGTAAATAAATTTCATGTCTGTCTGAACTGCCCTCGGTGAGCTGTTTCAGTCCATTGATCACCATTCCTGGATTTTGGATTTAATCTTCCACCTACTCCCTGGTGTGTTGTTTAAGGTTRGACTCTAAATGTTACTTGGCATCAGAACATATTCCTCTGGTGTACACATCTCAGAGACTGTCCCAAGAAAATACATTCCTTGAATGCTGTGATCACGCTCCTCATGTGTGTAACAGCAAACGAGGTGGGACTCAGGCAGCCTCTGCAAGTCCTGCACGTGCAGGGGGACCTGCCAGCTTGTTTAAAGGAAGGTTCAAATGCCAGAAAGTGATGGACACTCTCAAGCTGCCTCCCAGATGTTTGGCTTTCTACAGCACCTCCTCTATTCTCCTTCCATCAGAGACCTCTGATCATCCCCTCTACCGAGTGACCCAAAGCAGTCCCTACAGCTGTGCTTCTGAATGCCCATAGGAACATATCAACTGCCTCTGCTTTTGGAAATGATGTTATGGAAAATATTATGGCTTGAGAGAAGGRCTGGTGAGGGAATCCTTGCAGTTCWTGCACRAATTTGCATTGACCACTAAATTATCAAGCAGCAGCTCCCTTGCTTTCAAGGGCTGATTTCTTTCCTGTTAAAAAAAAATAATAACTATCAAAGAAATTAATATTAAAATGTCACTTCTGATATTTTACAAATAAATTCTGACAATTACACATAAAACTTGAAAAGTCATTTTGTTTGGAACATTYACATATTCAAAAATTCTGCAAGTTCTTGGTCCAAAAAGCCTTGAAAGCAACCTGTGTGTTTCCTGGTAGTACAGGAGGAGGTTTCACAGCTTCCTCTGGGACATGTCGAGTGTAAGGCTGAAACATGCAGAGCCATGGAAGGTCCCAGAAATCCAGCTACCCGTGGATTYTCCTGTAGTTAAAGTGGGGATGTCTATACTATTCTGCCCTGAACCTTCCAGGGAATTCCTGMATTACTCTGTGCCTTACAGAGTTACCACCCACAATCTCACACAGCACAGCCACGAGTGTTTAAAGTTTGTCTCACTGAGCTCGTATGTGTAAGAAAGTTCAGAGTAACAGCTCATCTAGTCCCTTTCCTTGCCCCTGAAAAGCCTGACCACCCTCAGAATCCCTGTTTTGAAGCAAAGCTCCACTAGTAAAAGATCTCTAGAGATTTCTGGAAAACCATTCAATGACCCAAGGGTTGTGGGTGTGTGTTTGCAGTTCTATGGCTGCTGCAAACCTCTCAAGCTTAGGAGCTCATTATTTGTCTTTCTTCTGTGTGGTTTTGCTATGAATTTCTGCTCTTTCTCCCCAGTGCCTTGACTACAGCAGCGGAGCCCTGACTGGTGACCTCTGTGAAGATCTGTGTGTGGCACAAAAATTGGTGTACAAACACTGCCTTTACTATGACAGAGGTAAGAAGGTCATTCAGGCTGACTGGAGAGGCCAGCCCATCATACTGAAATCCAAAAAAGAAATCTTTTCCAGCTACCAGCACCTCAGTATGCTAGAGGAGGTGGAAACACAGGATATCCCTGAAACAGAGCTTCTGCTCATGGTAGCTTTGGAGGTCAAAAATGCCCTGGGGCTGGAACTGTCTAACAATACCATGGGGCCCCTGTGGACAAGGAAGAAGGGACCACGTTGGAAAGCACAGGTGGCCAGCATGTGGTCCTTGCTCCAGCAGGAAGAATATATCTACTTCAGTTTGCTGCAGGACTTCAGCAAACATGTGCTACGAATTATTGGCTCTTGTGGACACTTTTATGCTGTGGAGTATCTCACAGCTGGACATGCCTGGCACAAAACTCTTTTTCCCTTGGAAAACGTGATTGGTCCCTCCCTTACTGGACACAGAAGCAGAGTGAGAGCCATCATTGACATTGCACTCAGCTTTCTGGACATGGTGCAGCATTTTGATAATGATTTCTCTCACCGACTTCACCTGTGTGACATCAAACCAGAAAACTTTGCTATCAGGCACGATCTCACGGTAAGTTAGGTTTTTGGGGTGGTGTTCCAGGAATTTGAGGTCAAATTCTAGTCTGAAGGTGACTGTGTAAAAGTAACACTTCTCTCCTTGCATAGCTTTTGGCTAAGTTTTTGCAAAGCAAATGAATTTACAAGCGTCAGGGGAGATTTTCCACTGCTTTTCCTCTCTGTAATGTGTACAGCCACAGTGTTTTTGGAGCACTAAATCCTGCTGCTTATTTTGAAAACTTTTTGCTCCCTTCTGTTTTGTGTCACTTCTTCAAAGGCACCAGTGCAAGGCCCCTTGGATGTGGTGAGGGACGCCTCCTGGAGGCAAGGGGATCTCAAAAACTCTAAATGAAGTTGTAATTCGAGTAATATTTCTGGTAGTGATGCTGAAAGGAAAAAACTGTATGAATTTGAAAGCTAAGGCTGAATTTGTGGTCTGACACAAGGGGAACACCCCACATCCAAACCCACACATTTCTGCTTCAGTGTGCAGCTTATCCAGTCTGGAAACTACGCAAGGACAGTGACACGAAACTCCCTGCTACTGTCACTCTTTGACTTGTCGTTGCACAGCTGTAACTCAGACCCAAAGCGCTGTGCATATTTTCCAAGCAGTGGTGCAGCTCACATTCATCCTGTGGACASAAATTCCTCTGGTTTTGGTTAGAATTTTGTCTACAGGCTGGAGGCTTCATGCAGTGAATAAGTGAAGTAGGCTTCCAATCTGCAGCATCATCCATGAAGTTTATGCACTCTGAGTGCTTTTGAGGGACTTAAATATTATTTTTAGTACTCACTGACTGTTAATGTAGCACTTGTACCTTCAGAGTGTTAGACAAACCTTGCCTAAACACACAACCTTGAAGAGCCATTGGAGTGTTTCCCCTTCACTCTTCCTTCCCCTCCCCTTTTTTATTCAGGTGTGATACAGAAGCTGAACAGGAAAGGGGTGAGGAGCTGCAGCACGATGCTAAAGCAAGCTGTACCACTGTTTAGGCAGAGCAGGAATTCCTCAAGGCAGACTTTGCCAATCTTCTTCAGTTATTCAGGGCTGTGGCTGCCTGTGGCTGAGCACACGCCAGAGCATCTGTTTTACAACCTACTTACAGGAAAACAGATTAAATTTAGGGAAAGGGAATGAATATCGGATGTATCTTTTCTTCTGAGTCCTTGTGGTGAGGCTTGCTTTGCCAGGATCTTCCAGTGACCAACCWGTTCCAGAATGGGAACCCAGCAAGGCCCTGCCTTTTTTTTTTCCTTTATGTTTGATTTAAGTAATTTTTTCACTTGTTGGTTTTGTGTATAGCATAAGGAAAACCCCCATAATAGTATCACTACTCCTCATTTGGTTAATGAGACTTCTAATGTCCAAAGAGCTGTGCCTGGAATGCAATCGTTTTACTTTGAGGATTATTTTCATGAGGTGGGGATAAGTTTCCAGCTTTCACATGTTCTCCTGCAGCACAGAGAGGAGCTGTCTGGGAGACCATCCAGCTACCACTGTCTGGTAGATAATCCRGGAGAATTTTAGGCTGCCATGGAGCTACAAAAGAGCTGGAAGGAGGTTTGGGTGAATGCACAGGGTCCTGAGAGAGCTTTCTCTTTCACCAATACTTCAGAGAGAACTGGAAAGTTTACAGCACCTTAAACATGACTTTAAATCAGGTCACRAGCCATGTTAGGTCCTTCTTGTATTTCCTCAGATACTTTCTTCATCAAATATGATCATAACAAACTCCACCAAAATGGAGCTGTTTATAGGTAGAGTGTCACTTACAAACGTCTTCACAGGCTCTTGCTGGATGCCCACATATTTCTGTAAAAGATGAAATTCAGTGAAGCCACTGAACCCTTCGGCAGCTGTGTATTTAGGAGCCAGGGCTGGTTTCCTTAGTGGAGCAATGGGTCAGTTTGTCAAATGGGGTCAGTGGGAGGTGACACACAACACTGGGACTGGGGAAGCCCTGCACTGCTTTCAGTGTCTCTTCTCCAAAGAACTGAACAGCAAAACCAGAGAAAGCTTAAGGAAATCAAGAAGTAAAGAAAAAAAGATTTGCCTCTCCAAATATGTGAAATAYCTTAGGCTACATCATCAATATAGAGGTCTCCAAAAAGCTTAAAAATACTAATAAAAAAACTTAAAAATACTTTTAATATATGCCTCAYCTCTGTAAGATTTATCCCTATGGAAAAAGGAGCAGAATGAGATGAAGATTAGACCATGTTCTTTATTTTGCCTGTGGAAGGTTTGTTTGGCCTTCTACCAAACCAGACATCTTTAGTTCCTGGGGTTGATCCAGTTGCTGTTCCAATCATGCAGTTCATCTTCTGTTACTTGGGAGGTTAAACCTTAAAAATAAAACCATCACTTGAGCCCAAGTAACTCTGCTTTGCTCAGGTCCCAGACATTTTCCTCTGTGAAAATGTGTGTCAGATGCTGCAAGGGAACATCCCTGATCCTGACTGTCAAGTGTGAAATGCAGCTGTGAGAATTCACTGGCTGCACATCCACAGTGCTGGAGACAGGCTGCCTTCCCTTCCCTGGAGTCACCCACCCCTTGGCTCACGCCAGGAAGCCATCATTCCCTTACTGGATTCTTTTCTTTCCCTCTTTACTGCTGATTTCTTTAAGTGAAGCATTCGTGGGTGGAGTGGCACTGGCAGAAGCTGAGCCTGCAGCCCTTTGATTCCAGAGAGCTCTCAGCCCCAGCAYGGGCAGCAGCTCTGCAAACACTTTGTGCTGTGCACACTCTGCTCTGAGAGCCTCAGGGGGAGAAAAGTGGTTGATCCCTTCACTCATGTTTTTCCTGCTGTGGCCAGCTTCTGGCTGGGCTCTGTTACAGGATGTATTCTTGGAGTCTAAGGAAAACCATGCACAATAAATATGCCAAACCATAGCAAAGAAGATTGGACAAAGCCAGACCCAGCTTTCAGCAGTCAGGGATGTCCTTCTACAGCCTCAAACCCACCGAATGCAAGGGCAGGTTTGCAGGAGCTGTACCAGGTGCAGCTATCCTTGGACACCCCTCTGCTCCTCTCCACAGTGGCAAAGTCAAGGGTTTAGTCTGAATGCTGAGCTGTAAGTGATGCTGTCTGGCCATGGTAATTGTGTGCCATCATATAACTAAGGGGTTGTGGTGCCATCTGCACACACTGCACCAGCAAGTAGATCAGTCTTCAGACTGGATAGTTCCACTTTTAGGCAAATCAATCCAATTGACTCCAGCGATCCTTATTGTTCACAAATAATTTTTCCATCCAGTGTCACAAGCATTGGCTGTTTTTGTTTAAAAAGTGGTGTTTATAATGCTAGTGTGTCTCAGTTAAGTGAAACAAAGCTTTTGTGATCCCAGTTCCCCACCAGCAGATGCTCTCAGCACAGCTTTTCCAAAAGCAAGCAGCAAAGAATGCCTGCTCAGTCCTGCAGGCTGTGCCAGGCCAGAGCTGATGGGATGTTTTGATCCACAGGTGGTGGCCATTGATGTGGATATGGCCTTCTTTGAACCCAAAATGAGGGACATCCTGGAACAGAACTGCACAGGAGATGAAGACTGTAATTTTTTTGATTGYTTTTCAAAATGCAATCTGAAARTCAGAAAATGTGGAGCACAGAGAGCCAATAACAACTTGCAAGTGAGTAGACACAGCTGTTTTATGCATCCATTCCTTTTAAAATCACATTGTGTGTAAAATGCATGGTATGTACCAGGAGACTGTGAGATGAAGACAGGTTTTAAAATGTGTCCGAGTGTCAGTCCTGCTCAGAAATCTCATCTTGGGGCACACAAACAGATCTTTATATTCACAATATGTAGTGATTATTTGCCATGGTTTTGTGAAGATGTCAGCCCAGTGCCTCAGAGTGGGGAGCAGAGGAAGCAGGGGCAGGGGATTAGCACCATTGTCTTCACTGATGGTAAAGTCACATCCTTGAATTGGAATCCTGTGCTCATTTAAGGAATCCTGTGCTCATTTAGGGTCTCTCACTTCAACAGAGACATTGAGGTGCTGCAGCACGTCCAGAGAAGGGCAACAAAGCTAATAAAGGGTCAGGAGCACAAGCCTTATAAGGAGTGGCTGAGGGAGATGGGGATGTCAAGCCTGGAGAGAAGGAGGCTAAGGGACATCTCATTGCTCTATAAAACTATCTGAAAGGAGGTTGCAGTGAGGTGGTGTTGGCCTCTTCTCCACATGGTAGGATATCCATCCATATCTCTCACATGGTAGGATAAGGTAAAATGACACCAAGTTGCACCAGGAAGGGTTTACGTTGAATATGAGGAAAAATTCCTGAAAGGGTGGCCAAGTATGGGAATAAGCTGCCCAGGGAAGGGGTGGAATTACTGCTCCTGTTAAAAACTTGTAGATGTGGCATTTGGGGACATGGTTTATTGATGGACATGGCAGTGTGACACAGACACTTGGACTCAGTGATCTCGGAAGTCTTTTCCAACCTTAGTGATTCTCTGATTCTGTGAAAGCTGGGGCTATCCAAGCATAAGCAGYGGTTGTGTTCTCTCCACTCCAGAGATGTAGTGTGTGGATGTTGTGGAAAGGGGTGTCCATGGGGTCCTTGGCCCTGGGATGAGGCATCTGACAGCTCACCCAGCTTGTGTTGTTGTGATGCACTAGCAGAGCAGAGAGGTTGGGAGGGTGTAGCTTATTGTCCTTTTGTCTGCTTCTCCCACCCCCTCTTCCCTACCCCTTGTTATACAGAATCACAGAATCCTTTAGGTTGGAAAAGAGCTTTAAAATCATCAAGTCCAACCATCAACCCAGCACTGTCAAGTCCACCACTAGATCACACTGCTAGTGCCACACCTACACATCTTTTAAATACTCCAAGGATGGCTACTCTGATTTTCCTGGGCAGCTTGTTCCAATGCTTGACAACCATTTTGGTCAAGAAATTCTTCCCAATATCCAACCCAAACCTCCTCTGGCACAACTTGAGGTCATTTTCCCTTGTATTGCTTGTCACTTAGGAGTAGAGACTGATCCTCAGTCTGGCCACAACCTCCTTTCAGGTACCTGTAGAGAGTGATAAGGTCGTCCCTCAGCATCCTCTTCTTCAGACTAAACAACCACAGATCCCCTAGGCTGTTTTGTGGCTTCAAAACATGTGAAGTGCAGGAGCAGCCTGAGAATAAGGGTCAGCCCTTAGCTAGGGTGCAGCCTTTGTGGATGTTCCCTTGTATACCTTCCCCTTCTAATGGCTAAAGGCATTTTTGGATTCAGATGACATTTTGCTAAAGTCCCGGGAAAGCAGCGGGGCATCAGTCGTAGCTTCTGAAACACAACAATCTGCTTTTTTTCCTTCCCCCAGGTAATTTGTGACAAAATATTCCGCCGCTGGTTTTCCCCCAATCTCAGAGGGTCGCTGGTTTCCCTCCCCCTGCAGCTGCAGCTGCAGAAAGCAGTGCAGGAGTGTGCCCAGCCGGGGCACACGGGCACCACCGGGCACCAGAGGACTCTGAAATCTCTCTCCGAGCTGTACCACCTGCTCCGGGTCACTCAGCGACAACTGCAGGGGGCACAGTAGACACAAAAGGCACAGCTGCAAAGGCCACATCACAGTGTCTCTGCATCCCTCCTAACTTTGTACCTTTACAGCACAGAGGTTGCTTTTCTGCTATGCAAATGGAGTTCACGGCTGCAGGTGTGGCACGTACTGTTAATATCCTGTCAAATGTTAAATTGCTTTGCATTACTTGGATTCTGTTCTTGCTTGTTTTCCCGAGCCAGTGCTACCCCTCTCCATCAGCATTCAGCACATCCTTCTGAGCTGTAGTCACTGCTCAGACAGCATCTGTGTGAGTGTGGTGCTCAGAGGATGCATTACAGAAAAAAAGCGTGAGTAAGTGCAGCAAAATTCAATCAATAATTAAAAGAATGGGTGGGTGGGTGTGGAGAAGTATGTGCATGGTGTTTGTTTCAATTTCTGTCAAATGCGGAGGTTTTTTATAGTGGAGACAGAGCATTCTATGTGAAAAAAAAAATGGATCTCAAACAGGGAAATGTGCTGTCACACAAGCAAAGTGCTGCTTTTGTACAAAGCCGTCCTTTCTGATGTCCCCAAATGTATTTTCTCTGGGTCACTGCGTTACCTGTGCCATCGTTAACTTTTTTGGGGAGAAATTATATAAAGGTGCTTCGGACTTTTCTAGAGCAAAATAATTACAYCCTTGCTGAGTTCCCAGGTGGGCACTCATATTCTGCAGTGGAGAGGTATGAATAATGCTGCTGGATTTTCCCATGTGAACCAGCCCTCGGGCACTTGTACATCAGAGCACTTGATAAGAAGCACTCCTTTGCCAGAGAGCAGAATTGCCCAGGAATGTCAGCAATCTGTCCTTTGCACAAAATGATATCCAGACCCCGAGTTTTCTTCCACAGTATTTTTTTAATGAACAAAAGGAAAATTTTTGTATTAAAATTCATTATCTTGTGATCAGTTAYGTAAATAAAGATCTCTAGATTAACSTAAAATCATTAACTTYGTCTTTCAAYTGTGCAGAGCTGTGGCTGGAGAAAGTAACACAGGTTCAGGAGATACTAATGTGCATAGGCCCAATACTGGGAAATGGTTTGGTTTTAAACATGAGGACGTTTAAAACCTCACAAACAGAAATCCTGGCAGCCTATGGCAGCCCTCAGCCTGGGAGAACTCAAAGTAAAGACTGTCARTGATGGTTTGTGGATGTGAGACCTGTAACAACACTGAATCTGCATCATCTTTATGTCCCTCAGCCTATAACAGCTGTGGAGCCTGTGTGTGCCAATGAGACAGAAACTTTTCATTTCTAGAGTGGTTCTTTAAAGCAAAGCTAACAATTGCCTGTGACCAGAAAAATGGGAGCTGCTTAGGAGGCCTTGACCCCTTAAAAACTAGCTCAAATTTTCAGCCTGGCACTAGTGGGATTTTATATATATTTATTGCAATAAACTACCATATTTTWAAAAGCCATGCAAGCCCTCAAGATATTCATAGCAAGAGCAAGGTCAGCTGCCTTGCCTGGGGCTGGACAAGCTGCTGCTCAGCTGGAGCTCCAGCTTAGGAGCTCCTGACTGGGACAGTTCTCTCAGTCCACACTTCTCCTTTAGCCAGGCAGGCAGAGAATGTTACGATACTTGAAGATCAACCTTTGCAAAAGCAGGAAGGCAAAGCAGAATAAGAATAAACATGGATTCCAAAAC